ACATGTATCAGAAGTGTTCGGCCACCCCTGCTATAGGCGCAATATTTAATGCTTTTCCTGGAACAAATCTCCGTAGGGCTTTAAAGAGACACTGTCTGAGATTGTCAGCTCAAATACTGATCCATCCAAAACTGGAATCATCTGGTTGGGATAGAAGTCCCTAAGCTGGCTAGCTTCTTCCCTTAGATCTGGCATATGATTATATGTGCATATGCAGCGTGCATGTACACATACAAGTGAAATGAAGGTAGCAGCGGTGCTGAATATTGCAGTGTTTTCTGCAGACTGCAGCACCTAATTATTCTCAGCTTCTTGGATAGGTACGTCCTTTTTTCCAAAGATGGCTAAATGCATACTTTTTCCAAGATACTATGTTGTTTTATTTTCGGTACTTTAAAATCTGCTCGTTTGTTTTTGGTTTTGTTTTTTTAAATTAAATCGTGACTCTCCCTGCCTGTCTCTCTGCTTACTTCTCCCCATCCAATGGCTATAAAGAGTTTTGAGTGTGATGTTCTCAAAAATCATGAAAATTGACATTTTGTTTGATGTGTCTCTCCCTTTAAAGTAGGTAAGGTCTTACCCTGATAGGATGAAGGGGCTCCAAAAAATTTTGTTCCTTATTTGTTGCTGATAGCGGGGCTGAAATGCATGACCATGCCCCAAACGACATTTCGGTGACTGTGCCAGCTAGCTCTGCTTGACCCTATATTTGCAATAGTCAAATGTTTTCTTTCTGTCCTCTCCAACACTCCTTCTTTTGAGGAGCCTCATTTGGGTTCGGAGTTTGTTTTATACTACCTAAAAGGCAGCCTTTTATTGGGCAGTCACTGCTGAGCAAGTTGGGTTTGGGAACCAAAGAAGGAGACTTCCAGGTCTGTATCTGACAAGTGTTTCAAGACCAGTCAGGCTGTTAATTCAAATTTCTCTTATGCCCTTTGGGTTTTCCACATGGAGTAGAGAATACGCCAGTTTTGGAAAGGATTGAGCACTAGTTGTAAATTGAACAACTCTGTCAATATTTTTGATTTCAGGAATATCTTCTTTAGGTAATAATACACACTTCTTGAAGATTTGTACATTTCAAAAGCAGTGTAATACATGATGACATCTTAAATAATGGTGTAGCTGTAGTCCATGCTTTACAGAATATTTCAGGACACATAATCAAAAGTAGAATATAGGATGTAATGTTATTTGCATGGTCAATGACCTCTGAATTTTCTGCTCTCCACAGATCTTGCGCAGCTGCCAAAGTTGTGACAATAGAGTTTTATTGTCTATAATGGATACTTAAGTAGCCCTGACTGTGTTAGGGGCCAAGTAACTTCAAGCTACAGAGAGAACAGGAAGACAGTGTTTCGGCTGTTTGTGTAGCAGTATTTCCAATGAAAGAGATGTTCATTGGGCTTGAGTAAGGAGGACTGTGAAACAAGTGTATAGAATTTATTTTTTATTATTTATTATTTATTATTGGCTGGATGGTCGCACTCAAAGAGTTGTGGTCAACGGTTCAATGTCCAAGTGGAGGCCAGTGATGAGTGGTGTTCCTTAGGGGTCAGTACTGGGACCAGTGCTATTTAACATCTTCATCGGCAACATGGACAGTGGGATTGAGTGCACCCTCAGCAAGTTTGCAGATGACACCAAGTTGTGTGGTGTTGTGGACACGCTGGAGGGAAGGAATGCCATCCAGAAGGACCTTGGCAGGCTGGAGAGGTGGGCCTGTGAGAACCTCGTGAAGTTCAACAAGGCCAAGTGCAAGGTCCTGCATGTGGGTCGGGGCAATCCCAAGCACAGGTACAGGCTGGGCGGAGAATGGATTGAGAGCAGCCCTGAGGAAAAGGACTTGGGAGTGCTGGTGGATGAGAAGCTCAACATGAACCGGCAACGTGCACTGGCAGCCCAGAAAGCCAACCGTATCCTGGGCTGCATCCAAAGAATTGTGGCCAGCACGTCAAGGGAGGGGATTCTGCTCCTCTACTCTGCTCTCGTGAGACCCCACCTGAAATACTGTGTTCAGCTCTGGAGTCCCCAACACAAGAAGGACATGGAGCTGCTGGAGCGAGTGCAGAGAGGGCCACGAAGATGATCCGAGGACTGGAGCACCTCTGCTATGAAGACAGGCTGAGAGAGTTGGGGCTGTTGAGCGTGGAGAAGAGAAGGCTCCGGGGCGATCTTATAGCAGCCTTCCAGTACTTAAAGAGGGCCTACAGGAAAGCTGGAGATGGACTTTTTACAAGGGCATGTAATGACAGGACACGGGGAAATGGCTTTAAACTGAAAGAGGGCAGATTCAGATTAGATCTAAGGAAGAAAATTTTCACTCAGAGGGTGGTGAGGCACTGGAACAGGTTGCCCAGAGAGGTTGTGGCTGGTCCCACCTCGGCTGAGATCCATGG